CTTCTATTTCAGAGGTAGATCTGTGTAGCCAGTCAACATTTGTACTCTTTTTGTTCGATGTACAGAGAAGAGAATAAAACCAAGTATGGTTACTAAAGAAATGGTTCAGTTTGTCATAGCTCTACCAAAAAAAAAAAAAGAAAAATCCATCTTGTTTTCAGTTTTTTTCCTATAGTAAAATCATCAAGGAAGTATTGAATAATTGCACAGTAGAATCAGGCACCAACTCTGGGTCCTGGGCAAGACTCACATAACCAGCTGTTGTTCTCCCTGCAGTGACCTGGGCTAGGCAGCCTAGCATCTGCCTCTGTTTTCTTTTCAGTGACCCAAGCCAGATTTCTTCAAAGTCTATTGCTGATATTTTCCCTACAGTCATTCATGCTAATTTCTTTTACATGCTACAGCTGTTTTTGAAAGATATTTTGCCTTTTTCTTTCCTGACTTATTTTTGCAAACTTAGAGGTGATTTTTAAAAATTACTGGATAATCTTGACCATAAGACTGGTTGTCTTGCTTTAAGGTATATGTTAGCACTGTAGAAAAAGGGTAAATTAGATTTACTTTCCAGAGGRAAGCTCAGTCTGACCAGTGGTCCTCATGGACAAAGAATCCTGATCTTGAACTGAGTTCTTTACAGTCATTGATCTTGAGAGAATCAAGGTGAATCTGGTGGTAATGGCTTGGGACAGAGCAAAGCTCAGAAAAATTCAGAAGCAAAAAGATAAGTATTTTGCTGTGTGAGCCAACAGTATGAAAAGGTTGTGTGGCAAAATGCTCTAAATGAGAAGAAAGGGCTGTTAATGATATAAAACCGTTAATTATGGGATTAAGTTGACCTCAGGAAGGCATTATTGCTTAATAGCTAAATGCAAACCCATAAAGCGTAAGTTTGCAATTTTGGAGGAGATASAGCTCAAGCTTTCATAGTTGTTGCCAATGGAAATTATGGAATACCTTTTAGAAGGGCTATTTTTTAAGTAGAAGAGCCCAAAAGTTTGATGGTCTTTGTTGTTTTGGTTTTTTTTGCCTGTAAAACATTCATGTCTTAAAGTAAGCCAGAGGTTCTTGGTTCTTTGCATGTTTATATTTTAGGAGAGATTTTGCACCTTGTTTTCAATTTGCAGTCTTAAAATTCCTTTGACAACTTCAGTTTATGTGAGCACATGAATTAAAGAAGATATTCTGGCTACTACTGAGTGACTCAATTTCACTTTTGCCAAAGTTGCAAATGGTATGCTTAAAATGAGCATTTTATCCTTTCTAAATCAATATGAAGTGCTTTTTCAGCTACTTTTGTTCTGGGACAGCCAGGGTAGTTGTTGTTTGCATAAATACTACTCTGCAGTGTAAACTGAAGCATAATAATGACAACTCTTTGGGAGAATACTTCAGGTACTAAGGAAGGAAGCCTTGTAAGCCACTTTCCCTAGCCATGTCTTTTCGCCACTTTGATGCAGCTTGTGAATCCAGGCTTTCTTTTGCTATGTAMGTTTTAATCTTCATATTTTTAAGTTAGTTTCCTTGTATTTATATCCATTAACTTTTGTTTGTTGACTGGTTGCCACTTAAATGAATTCAGTTCAATTTTCTGCACTCCTTCCCAGCAGAAATGTCTAGAAATAGGTAAAAGACCTTGAGCATTCTCCTCTATGGGCTGAACAGTCCCAGCTCTCTCAATATCTGCTCATATTTCACATGCTTCTAACCCTTAATCACCTTTCAGATCCTCTCCTGGTGCACTGTAGCAAGCCCCTGTCTTTCRTGTACTGGGGAGCCCAAAACTGTATTGAGTACTCCAGAAGCATTTCACTGGTGCTTATGATCCCACTTTTTGCTTTTTTGCCTCCTCTCAGGATGCAGAATTCCACCATCTTGTGGTAACTGCAGCTGAAGTTGTCTCCTTCTTTTATATCCCTGRTCTGTTCTTCCTTGTGTGAAAGTATGGGGTTCAACAGAAAGCCTTTCTCTCAACTGCTCCTTAATAATTTATGTCAGTGAAATTGTGGTCCACCCTTCAGAAAACCTCTGGATTGCTTGATTCATGGTGTGTTGTTCCTTTAATTGATACTGGCTTGATTAAACTGCACAAAGAGGACCAAGTCCTGCAAATGTGACAGAAGTCATAGGGAATGTTACCCAAGAGACTGTGTCACTCAGAGATTTGGTTGTTAAAAGTAAAAGAAAAAAAACAGTGCCTTTTCAAAAGGGTGTAAGGGAGAATAGATGGAATAAGTTAAAAGAATAATTACTCACTTATTTCATATTAGGAATTTATGTGATTAGGTAGAAGTGATTTGGGGTAGAGATCTTATTTTTACCCGAATATTATATATGAAGCAAAAGATTAGTGAATATTTTGCTAAATAGCTCAGAAAATTGCAACTAAATATTTTGCATTTCCTCATGCATTATTAACATTGCTTCTGTGAAAACATGATCATCCTCACTATTTCTTTTTGACAGCCAATTCCACAAAAATTTCTACTAACAGATGATTAAATACATGGAAGGAAGGTTGGAGGAGGAAGGGGTCGCATAGTAGAATTCTCATAAGCCCTGAGGACAAAGTGATGTAAGGTGTCATTTTTGTTACTGATTATTTTCTGTTACTCAGCTTTTATTTTCAGTTATATTTTTAAAATATATTGTTGTTAGAACTACAACTGAATTTTAATAATTTATATTTTTTCTTTGGGAAGTTTTTTAGAATTGGACAATTGAAGCATGTTAGAGACCTTGTGTTTGAACATATTTGAGCTTTGGAAGTCGYAGTGTTCTAGTTTTCTTACATTGTTCTCAAGTAGATAGTGTGCCCATAATCTTAATAATTTAAGAATAGCAAACACACAGCTGAAGTGCATTCCATTCATTCAGATAAGAGGCGTTACTTGTTCCATATGGTTGTGTCTACCAACCTGTTAGCTAAAACGTGATTAGAAGTTGAGTTGCTTTCTCTCATGCTGCCTTTGTTATGCTGATTATGAGAGTATGTTGCTCCATAAGTCTGGGCATTTCTTTACACACAGAGTGATTTTTCACTGTAAAATTACTGTGCCTTTTATTTGTCGTATGAAGTAGGAAAATGAAGTGGTTTGTGTGGTGCTTGTTTGTGCAGAATGCAGAAAAGATAATAGCATATGCTGGTTTTGGTAAATACTTGTGGCTGTCTTATTTCTTGGGTGGGCTGGACATCCCCCCAKATGTGAACGACTTGAATGAGGCCTGCTTCTACTACTAAACAATAAACCTCCTTTACTAAAATCACAGAATGGGTCAGGCTGGAAAGGACCCTAGTGGGTTATCTGGYCCAACCTCTCTGCTCAAGCAGAGTCATCCTAGAGTAGTTTAAGACCCCCACAAGAACCAGGGCCTGTAACTTTGAGGCTCCCTCTGGAGGGCTTGATGCATTTCCTTGTTCTGATCAGGTGTCCTGTAGCAAAGACCCCGGACAGTGTCAACTGTGCTAATCTGCCCTTTTATCTTAACCCATAAACTGTCAACTTGCTCATCATCAATCCCAAGGCAGAGCTTGAATACATTCCAAGTGTTGTCTCACATAGARKGCAACTCCACCACAGCACCTTMCAGGCCTGTGTCTCCTAAACAGCGTGCAGTCCTTCATGACAGCATTCCAGTTGGGAGCTCTTCTACCACATCACTGTAATCCCATTGAGGACAAAGCCCTGTGATTGTACACAGGTATCTAATTCTTCCAGTTTGTCCTCCATACTGCTTGCATTGCTGTACAGCACTTTATAGATGTAAATGATTGTGTCAATATTCTAGTGGGGCTGGAAGGGGACATCCCATAGTCRAGTGTTGTGGTTGTGGCTTTGGATWCTTGTAYTCACTGATKGTATCCTCTCTTAMGCCTCYTTTTGCTACTTCAGTGGTTGCTGTAGGTTTCCCTTCTCATACTTTATGTCTGTCAAACCTGACTATGTCTCTGTCCCTCTTCAAATCTAGCTTAAAGCTTTTTCAGCAAAGTGTGCTCCCTCCTGAGCTAAAGCCTGAGCTGATGTGATACTCCCCTGTGTAATGTCACTTCCTATCTTATCTCAATTTCTTTAATCTGTTTCAGTCATTGAGGATGWTCGGCATGTATGGAAAGAAAAATACACTACAGAATAGACCTGGATGTCTGAGCTGTGACAATGAATCTTTTGGCTTGAAAATTAGACTTTTACACATTGCTGRTTTGACTGGGCTGACCAGCTGAGTGACTTGAATATTAAAAACAAAAAATAAAAGTAGTCTCCTTCAAAAGAAGGGGGTAAAAGGGATATTTTTGCAATTTTTTGTCAAGTATTTCTAAGTTTATGTAGTTGACTTTTRTTGATGAAACACCTGGGAGTGAGCTTTTTGGGTTTAGGTTGTGTATTTGTTTTCTTTTTCCCAAAGTCTTTTGGCAGTTTGAAACCTTTATGACAATTAATTAGATGTCTCAGCAGTCAGTTCAACATCTCAAGTAGTACAGACAATGGATTTTGACCTTGATTTAGATAAAGAAGTTACCAGATACTTAATAGCTTGCATGGGTTTTTACATACATTGTGAGCTCTCCTTAGCATTTTCCTAAATAAAATTCTCTCTTATTTGTTTCAGTTTTGGAAATGTGTGATTTAAGGTTCTATTCAAAAATGTGCTTAACAGAATTCATAACTGTGGCTTACATTTTGCACCTTTTAGGTTGCTGGTTTTTTTGTTCTARTGGACAGAAAAAGGTTTATGATATCTCAGGTTGAAATGCAGCTCTGGAGAATCTTGGAGGTTAAACCTATGCTTTCTGCCAAAGCGGTAATGATGGATGCATTGTTGATTTGTATACCTCAGAAAGTGTTGCTGTGGGAATCAGGAGATGACAAGTTCAATTCTTAACTCACCACCACATACGCTCTGTGGCCCTTCTCTGCTTCACCTCCTTTTGATAAWGTGGAAATGACAGATTTACTGAATGGTAAATACAGATAAATCTGAGTGTTTCTTTCTTCTTTCTCAAGGTTTTGCCAGAATGTACAAATAGCTGTGATGAAAAAAAGTGAGGAAAGGAAACTAGATTGATGGAGGTGAAAAATCGCACCAAGAGTGACTGAGAAAATCTGTGAACCTATGCCTTAGGTGAGGATGTTTTGTCAAAACTGACATTTGCCAACATGATACTTCTTTTGGGATAAATACAAATATAAATTTACTCAGTACTCCCTTAGGGACATTTCTTAAAAGCAGACATTATTGACTATAGATAAAYTCAGAACTGATGGGAACATGAAGAAATGCAGTTAGTTTCTTGTATACTKGGAACTGTGTATGAGAATTTCTTGTACACTTCCTTTGTATTCTTCTAGAGGCAGTGAAGATTTCAGTGAAACTTTCTAATATTTTAAGGCTGATTTATTCTCTTCCTTGGTCTTGATCCGTCTCACCCCYATTTTTTAACCTCAGAAAATTTTTTATTTAACCTTTGAAGAAAGTCTACTTAARACATTACTAAATCATTTTTGTGTGAGAGAGGTCATTTGGAGAGTGTGCGATCATATCAACAGCTGTAATTGCAATTTAATCAGAAAAAGATCAAATATTGAATCCTGTTTCTTGACAGAATTACTTCAGCCTCTGATTAGCCTATTATTTTCTGTGACCAGCTGTYACTTCCGAAAACTTTCTTCTGAGATTATGAACAGACACCGTAAGTGAAGACTTGCCACAGATTTTTGTGGTGGGGCTTTTTTGGGTTGGGTTTGTTTTTTTTTGTGAATCTTTAAAGAGACCTGTATAGAAATAAAACTTCAGTTTATACTTGCATTCATGACTCTTATTAAGGGAATTTGTGTCCAAATACATTTATCTTTGCATCAAAAAGTCCTTGAACTAGTTCAAGAAAGATGCCATAACTAGTTGGCATCAATAGTTACACGGAAAAACAGCTTCCTATATTTGTTCATTTTTAGGACCTTTGTCTGTATACTATGAGCAATAGGCAGCAGCTTACTTTGTATTTTTTTTTTTATTTGACCGCAGTAAGTGCTTTCTTATGAATTTAGATAACTGACTCCGATAGCAAATGACTTAATGATCTGATGCTGGGATCAAGTGTATTTCTGTCTTTGGTAGGCTTCCTTCTGTCCTTCCCCTACTTTCCCTCTGTTTACTGAGAGCYAAGGTTTTTGAAGGCATTTTTGGCCCAGCTTGTGAAGCAAGCATAGATATCAATATCTTGCCTGTAATTTAGTTTYTCCAACTTTTGCTTTTTTGCAGTATTGCATTTAAAAAAAAAAAAAAATGCATGTTTTAGAACATCCACTGTCATACTGAGGAAATTACTCAGCCCTTATAACAGTGTCATTCTCTTGAAAATGTTGGGAGGTTGAGTTCAGCTTGTGCATGGTTGGYTGCAGAAGATTTTTCATTTTAAATGAAGAAAGGAAATACCCTGCTACAGAGTAAAATTGGAGCATAGATTTTGCAATCTTACTAAAGAGAATAATTGATGGTTGAAAAATACATACGATAATTGCTTTCAAATAAATCATCTTAAATTTCCTGTGTTTGTGAAGAATTTTTGTGTTTTTAAAAGCGGCGTGAAAACATTTTTATGTCAGCTGTTTTGGACTTGTAGTTCATACTGTACTTTTCTCTGTATTGAGATTAATGCTGAGGAAAAGGGTAAGGCATTTTTGTTATGGCCAATTTATTTTATTTCAGACTSTATTATCACTTGGTGAAAGCCCTATTGATTAGCCTTCATAGCTTTACAGAGCTTTTCTTATAAGCACTTAAAGTTTAAGTTGTCTCAGTCCCACAGGACAGAAAGAAAGCTGCTAGTACCATGAAATTCTTCTTCTGTATGTTTCCAACAGCTTGAAGCTTCCTCTTGGAATGCAGAATATTAGCACATTAACGTTATTAACCCCTTTAGTACAAAATTGTTTTGGAAATAAAAGTATTTTTATGTCTTCAAAGTCTAGATTGTTTCTTCTATGTCAGTATAGTTTCTTAAAGCTGAAAAATGTGTTGCTGTGCAACAAACAGATGCTGCTCTAACAATGCAATACATTATGTACCAAAAATGATCTTGGTTTTAATCATGGATGCTGATTTAATGAGAGAAGACTATCTTACATCAAAAATGGATTTAGGGTGTGATTTTGTTTTCGCTATGTTTTCTCTACATAATTAATAGGAATATGGTACCTTATATATTCTCTTTTAGATTTGAAAATGTACTTTGGTTTTATGCCATTTTATACTCCTGTTTTCTAATTCTGCCTTGTACAATACTCTTTTTTTTAAATTCCTTTTTTGTGATATGAACACGAGGGCATTAGTAAATCTTGTATCTTTAGTGTATTTGCCAGAAAGTRTTGCCTTTTTACATTCTGTTTTTGTTTAAATCCTCTCATTTTGCYCACATCTCCTTTTTCATTTATTTTCTAAATGTTTGCTATCCAGTGTTTTCATCATGCATTTGCCATGTGGGACATGTAAGATGTTTGTCTGTAACTAATGTTAGTTTATGGATCAGAAAAACAATGCTCATCAATATCTTCAGACACTATCAGTACTTTATATCTTGAGAACACGCCTGACCCCCTGGGAGCATTTCATTGTTGATAYCTCTTCAGTTTAGCTTTCATTTTATTCTGCAGATATTTTGTAACTTAACTTTAGTTGCTAGCTCTAATCCCTTCTATCACCAATACAAATTTTGATTGACAATTTTACTTTCAKATGAAGTCAGATAATACTATACTTGGGGGGGAAAAAGTCTTCATATTGTGTTTTTAATTCCACTGAACCCAGCAGAGTTAAATGTAGTTTGGATGCACAGGGAAGAATTAATGATTGGAAGATACAGAGTTGGTAAATTATTTATTCTGGCCCTGAGGAAGCTGAAAAGCTGAGTGAAAGACTAATAAATCATTTGTGGTAGTGCTGGTTGTCACTTCCAATTATTTTAGACGGTTTTGTGATAAACTGCAGCACCTGCTAGATATCCCTGCACCATCCCTTGATGCTTGCAGTGCAGCTTGTTCAGTCGATTATCAAAGGCAAATTTGTCTAAAGTTTCCTCAGGTTGGAAAGAGAATTACTTTTCTCAGTCACMCCTTCCCCCATTTGTTAAGTTCCTTTTTCATTGCATGCATGTAATAGGCAAAATCAATGATATATGTAGAATTTTATTGACATAATGTACATTCAGGTATGGTTGATGGAGCCACTGAGGAACRGGATGAGGGGTGATGTGTCTGTGAGTATAACTGTGCCTTTAAAGGCTGGCTTGCTTTCATCTTTCTGAATAGCAGTTGTTTCTAAGGTATGAAAACTAGTATTCCTCCTCCTGTTTTGAGGATTGTGTTGTAGCTAGTGCTGAAGTTATTGAGGAGACTAACTTAAATATCAGGTGACTGTCACATGTCAAACTTTTCTACTGCTTTTATTCAAAAGGTCTTAGTTTAAAATAATGATTACATGTACAGATCATGCATGGCCTGTGTGCATGCAACACTTGCATAGTTAGATTAAGGCAGAGAAAAGTAGTTGAAGGACTGGAGAAAAGGTTTAGRAAGAACAATTGAGTGATTGGGGAGGAAGGAAGGGAAAGCAAAATGTTGGAAAGATTAGGGCTGTTTTAACACTTAAAAACTRAAAGTGAGATGAAAGGTGAAGAAATAAAGATCTGGGATGGGTTAGTGGAAGGCAGCTGTTTCTTTATACCCTGTCACTGAGAACAACACTGTTCATCATCACCTCAGATAGCTGCAGTCTGGACAGCATTTTCTCTGAGATAGAGAACCAGGACTACCCTGAAAATATTTGTCTTTCCAAACTGAGAAGGTGTTAAAATATGATGCCATTCTATATGTATTGCTTGCAAGTTTCTAAATTGTCATCTCAGAAAAGAAAAAACGAATTTCAGAAAGTTGAGCTCAAAGTTTACAAGTTGTCTGAAGGATGGGGAGGAGGGTGCTCCTGGTKGTGCAGGAACTTAACATGTTACATTTCTGCTCATCTTGGGGAAAGAACTGCAAAGATTTAAAATTTATATGAAAATAGACTAGAGTGCAAAGCAGTCAGCTTAAAGCTGTTGAGATTTTCTTTCATGTCTCTGTTACTGCATCTTATGCATAGTGCTGAAAGACTTGCTTGTAAATGTTGAATGCTGGAACTTAACAGTTACATGGTAAGTTTTCATTATCTTCCTAACCTTGTCCATCCAAATAACACTGAATTCTAAATATTCAGGGTCAATACAACCTACAGCTCCTTACCTCTTGTAAGGTAAAAAAATCAGGGTTTTTTAATATTGATTTCCATTTTTCCATTAGTGASTCTCAGTTTGGAATTTCAAGTGAAATCTTTGTTTTAGGAAGTAGCGGTATTTTGACTCAGACAGTTCAAGAAATATCAGAAGAAATATTATGCTGACGAAAATCAGAATTAAAAAGTCCTTGTTTTCTTGCTTTAAGTCTTGTTCAGACAGTCTYGTTTTTTTCATTGTGCTTCTGTAGGTCAGGAAGGAATCAGATGAAAAATTGAAGCACAGTCACCTTGCTTCCYCAGAGGACTTCAATACAGAGATCTGCACAATTTCAGCTCTAGATCTGTGAATTTTAGGMAAGCTCCATGAATACATCTGTTCAAGTTCCAGCAAGTAGAAACTAGGTGTCAGAAGAACATGTAAAGCTCTGTCAAGGGGTGCTTGTTTCCTGTGGGGAAGGATTGTTTGCTCAGTTTCCTGGAAGTTCAATTTACGTTATCAGTGGCTGTTATTTGCAACTAATGATGACAATATAGAAATACAGGCTGTAGGAGCTGATTTATGTTATTRTAATTGAATTATTATTAGACAGTASTTCTGTAAGTATKGTATATTTGATGGTAACAGAAAATCAGTGGAATTACTCATGCAGCTTCAATCAGCCATTTATTCATGATTTGCACATCTAGACTTACATAGACATTAATCGTCAGGTTTTTACTTTCCTTATGTTCCCAAGAAAGGTGGTATCTATACTAAATTTGGTTTTCAAAAAATACATTTTTACTGCAGTAGTTTTGTATTTATTTATTGCTAAACACAGTATATTTATGCATTTTTTAAGTAGTTACATGTACAAAGATATGTACATATTGTTTGCATGTACAAAATTAATTTTTTTTTAAATTTTGCATGAAAATTAAAACACAATCAATTTATTCGTAGGACTTTCAAAATTCATGTTTAGTTCACATTGAATTAATTGCACAAAGATAGTGATATGTAGAGATTTTAACGTGTTAAAATGGACAGGACAAAAAATGCATTTGGAAATGAAAATAGATTTCTTTTATGAGATCATTTATAATAAACTGAACTGTTAACTCTGCTTAAAAAAAAGTGAATTTTATCTTCAGAAAATTTTTTTATTCTTTTTTAAAATAGAGCAAGTCTTTCTACTTCTGTTGTTTTACAACATTCAAAGTTGTTGCAGTGTCCCATAGAAAATCTTGGATAACGGGTTTTTTAGAATCCACCTGAGAGATTGTCACAGTTTATAAATGCTGGTTAAGTAATTGAGCAGACTATTTCTAAGCTTTTGCCTGTCTTTTCCTTAAATTCTTAGCAGTGAGAGGTATGACAACCAGAATGACTCAGACAACAAGACACACTTGTAACCTAGTCTCTTTTCTCCAGCCTGTCCAAGGAAGCATTCTTAGAAGGGATTTGGGGGTGTCTGTGACATTATTTCCCACATATGCTTTTCTGCCTTTTGGAGGACTGGAAGCTTTTGCTGAGGAGAATCAGCAATGGTGTCTTTTCACCTATCAACTTGAAGAAAAAAAAAGTTTTTTATAAATACATGAGCAACAAAAAGAGGACTGAGGACAATTTTTGTCCTTTATTGGATGATTTCCATCCAAAATACAGTGACAAAGAATAAGGAAAAGGCTGARGTAGGTAATGCCTTCTTTGCTTCAGTGTTTTAAAAGACCTGCRGTTCTCTAGGTACCCAGTTCCCCGAGCTGGAAGACAGGAACGGGGACCAGAATTCAGTTTCCATACTCCCAGGGGAAGTGGTCAATGACCTGCTACACCACTTAGAAAACACAAGTTTACACAAAAGTCTAATGAAGATAGGATCCACCCAAGGGTAGTGAGGGAGCTGGCTGAAATGTTCGCAAAGTGATTTCAAG